CCCCCGCCACCGCCCGCGCCGCCACCACCACCCCCGGGCGCACTGGATGCCCTGTCGCTCAGCAGCAGCCTGGATAGCGGACTCCGAACCCCTCAGTGCCGGATCTGCTTCCAGGGCCCAGAGCAGGTCAGGCCTGGGCACCTGGCTGGGCAGGGAGGGGTGGGGGGCGCGCACCTGGGCTGTCCGCCGGGACTGTGAACAGGGGGCGGGGCCTGAGGAGGCTGGGCGGGACCCAGGACCTGGGTGGGAATAGGGCGAGGTGGGGCAGCTGGCTGGATATTCCTGGAGAGTGTGTTTGGGTTGGGGTGGCGGGGGTCCTTAGGAAGCGGTGGGGCTTTTTCCTGGGAGAGGTCATGATTCCTCTCTCCCATTAATGGGGACAGCATTGTCTCCTGCTCCCCTTAGCCAGGGTTGCCATTGACTGAGGGGACCTATGGAGAATGCATCTGTTCCCATCTTCAGGGGAGGGACCAAACTAGAACCCTGCCTCACTATTTCTCCCGCTGGGGCACTTTTAACTTCACATTCTGCAACTTTCTCATTCCAAAGAGCCGCCTTTGTTAAATTTTATGGGCAAAGTTGTCCCGGGATAGTGCCAGAGGGTGTCTCTGTGTAATGAGAAATGATTCCTTGACTAAAGGGGAACATGCTTCACTCCCACCTTCAAGAGTTACCCTTGTGGAAATGAAGACCAATAATCCATTCTAGTCTCCATCATATCTATGAAATGCTGTACTTTACAATGATAGGATGAGGGAAGGAAACCATGGTTCAGAAACTCTCACCCTTCTGTCCCTCCGCATCCTAGAGCAAAGCCTTCCCTCTAGGAAATATTGAAAACTACCTTTTGCAAGTTCTAGGAAAAGAGAAGGCCCAGACTTACCTCTAACCCCTATACCGCATTACTTTAGTATGGGAAGTGTTTCTTGAACTTTAACTTCCTTCTTTTCTGCTGCAGCGTTAGCCTTTTGCCCAGTGTTGGGTGAAAGACCTGAGGGGTTTTTGTCTTTTTCCCCCCAATTTCGGGGATCAAACCTAGGGCCTCACACATATTAAATAAGCGCTCTACTACTGAGCTACCTCCCTAGTCCAGGTCTGAATTTAAGAGGTTTCCCTCAACAGGAGCACAGAATCAGGTGGGATGGTGATGACTGACAGGGGCCTTTCCTCACACTGCCTCCAGGGGGAGCTCCTGAGCCCCTGCCGCTGTGACGGATCGGTGCGCTGCACTCACCAGCCCTGCCTCATCCGCTGGATCAGTGAGAGGGGCTCCTGGAGCTGTGAACTCTGCTACTTCAAGTACCAGGTCCTGGCCATCAGCACCAAGAACCCATTGCAGGTGAGGTGCAAAGAGTGGACTCAGAATGGGGGAAGGTCTTTTACTATAGGGATCAGGGAGCCTATTTTATCTCATTTACTCTTTTTTTCCAAAGACACTCCTCCCCACCATTATGGAAGTTTCCTGTTTGTAAATCCTTTCTTCATTTATTCATTTATTCACAAAGACATTTATTGGGTGCCACTTGTATTCCAGACACTGCTTCAGGCACTGGGACAACAGAAAAGGAAAAGAAAGTTGTTGATGATGATAATGATAGCAAATGCAGTGTTTTCTGTTTATCAAGTGTGGTTATACATTAACTCTTTAATTCTTTTAAGCTTCATAATAATCCTAATAATTAAGATACATTTTCCCCCAATTTACAGATGAGAACCCTGATGCACAAAGGGATTTAAAAACTTGCATAAGGTTATTCAACCAGTAAGGAATAGAGTTAAGATTTGGAATTTATACCTAGATGTTTTGGCTTTAGAGCACTTGCCTGATTCTGCCTTTGTAAAATAAGACAGATAAATAGTGTCATGTGAGTGTCACATTTTAGGTTTGATTAAGGCACAGAGAAGACAGATGTAAATCCTACTTAAAGGATGTAGAGAAGGCCCCTGGAGCCTCCTCCTTTTCAGGATTGCCCATTACCCAGTCCTCTGTCCCTTTCTGTGACCATTTGGAGTCTTTTCTCTTACACAGTGGCAGGCCATCTCCCTGACAGTCATCGAGAAAGTCCAGATTGCAGCCATAGTTCTGGGCTCGCTCTTCCTCGTCGCCAGCATCTCCTGGCTTATCTGGTCCTCACTCAGCCCTTCAGCCAAGTGGCAACGACAAGATCTGCTCTTTCAGATCTGTTACGGCATGTACGGCTTCATGGATGTTGTCTGCATAGGTGAGGGCACCTTTCTCTCCCTTATGTGCTTAGCATCTTCCTTTTAGTCACTCACTTAACTTTCCTGTCTATCTCCTCAGTTTCATGGCTTTGTTTTCTGCCATTGGGATCCTTAGAGGTATCCTGATATCCCTTCCTTCCCTGCTTCTTCAGGATCCTTTGCAGCTGTGTCTTCTCACTCTGTTATGTGTGTTTTAAGGACCTTTGGCCTCGGTCTCAACAGCAGTTGATCCCAGATTTTTTATCCTTTTTGTTCAGGCCTCATCGTTCATGAAGGATCTTCTGTCTACCGAATCTTCAAGCGCTGGCAGGCAGTGAACCAGCAGTGGAAGGTGCTGAATTATGACAAGACAAAAGACATAGGAGGAGATGCAGGGGGAGGGACAGCAGGGAAGCCAGGCCCTAGGACCTCACGGACGGGCCCCCCCACTGGGGCTACCAGCCGTCCCCCAGCTGCCCAGCGCATGCGGACGCTCTTGCCTCAGCGCTGTGGTTATACAATCCTGCACCTCCTTGGACAGCTGCGGCCACCAGATGCCCGTTCCAGCTCCCATTCTGGTCGAGAAGTTGTCATGAGGGTCACCACCGTCTGATCTGGATTCCAAAAGCAGGGATCTTAAGTCAATGCATCAGCCAGACACAAGCTCTCATGGCTGCTGGAGGAACCACCTGGACAAGGTGTTTGGGGCAGTGGCCCCCACCACTGAGGATCTCTGTGGGCAGCCTCAGGCTGGAGACATTGTCTGTTCTCTACTGCCCACTGAGTAGACACCTGGATGACATTCTAGCCACCATTGACAGCTCCTCATACTCATCCTGAGATGGTCAGTGGGCAGGTGGGGAGAGCAGCTTTTCTTCCCTGGAAAGAACCATCTTTACCTCAGCTCCTAGGGCCTCCAGCCCCCCCTCACCCCAGCTCCACCATGGTGACTTGGCAAAGGGGGACCGATGCCAGAAGAAAGGGGCTGTAGACCCCCATTCCCCATCCCATGGCCACAGGGCATCTGGCAATAAGACTAGTATACATTGACCTCCCGTTCCCTGCATGAGGGCGGGGGACTTCCCCCTGCTCCATCCCCCATTGCATGGGGGAAGGGCATAAAGAATCATTTATATGCACGTGGAGACTCCTTTCTCATCTGGGGGTTTTCTGGAGGGCTGGGAGGCTTCTGTTCACATGTTGCAAATTCTAAATGCAGCAGTGGGTTCTGAGTTGAAGTTGTGACTCCCACTTGCTAGAGAATAAGTCACTTTGGCTGCTAGATGGCAGTGCTCAATGCTATCTAAGGAGGGTAGACCTGCCACCTTTAAGTTGTGTGATTTAGGAAAAAATCTCTAAGCTATAGTTTTCCTGTCTACCTCATAGAGTTGGAATGAGGATAAACGAGGGACAGGTTGGACGCCATTGAAAAGAAAATCAACAATGGCATAAATATTTCTAGACTAGTTGATGGTTCATTTATTTCAAATAGTAACTGGTATAACAAATTCCAAAATGTGTTTTTCATCAGGAGTTGCACAGAACCTTGGAATTTTGTTTTGAGTGATATAATAGATATGGAAACATGATGGGTAATAGACACTGCAAATGTGAAGGATGGTGGTTGTTTGTAAGAATAAGAACTCCTTGGGCCAAGGATGTAGTTCAGGGATATGGCATTTGCTTGAGAACTCTTCAGACCCTCTCTCTCTGAACATTAGAGCCTGGTGGTGGGGAAAGGTTGGAGATGTCCATCTTATTCTGGAGGTCATCTGAATTCTATTCTTCTCAGGTACTGTGCTTCCTCAGAAAAGTGGTATGAAGTGAATATGGACCCATGGAAGGAGTCCCCCTGACCTATTTTGATGGCAGTTCAGGATCACAGGTCTGATCCTGGTTTGCCCAGTTAGTAGTATTAAGTGGAAAGTATTGTTCTTGGAGGCAGAAGCATAGAGAAGGCTCTATGGGAAATTTGGGTTACATCCCCAGCACTGAAAAAGAAAATGGGTCAATCCAAAGCCTGGTACCTTTCTCCTGAGGCCTGGGGATTGTGTATTATATGAATGATGGTGTCTTTCAAGTGAACCATTCATCAACATTAAAATAATTCCTTCTTACATTGCTAAAGTCAGATCCAGAGGCCTTTCTTATTATTGGTCCTTCTCTTAGGGAAGATTCTGTGCTTCCTCCTCACTTGGGGTATTTTGGAGAAAATTATTCTCTTCTAAAGGCCCACATATCCTTGGGCAGGAAACCTTGATCCTCTCCAGAAAGGGTCCCGGGTGCTGTCCATGGTGCTGGGATACAGATGCACTTGGAAGTATAGGAATCAAAGCTGAACTGGAGTCTGATTCACCTTGGAATGTTGAAGCATATCACTTCCAAGTTCTGAGGAGATCAGAACAGAGAGAGAGAACTGAGGCCAATCCCTCCATCTTTCAGTGGGAAACTTTCCCTCTTTGCCTCCACCTGAGGGAACAGAGGGCCAAACTTTATAGATAGACTATTCACAGAAGAGCTGGTGGGGGCTACATGGGAGCTAGAAATCAGAGTGACTACTAATACTCATACTGGCCCATAGGGCTCAGTGACATACATGGAATTTCTGTGCAGAGCCTGAGCTATATAGAAACTTAGACACATCCAGTAATAATAGGCATGCTTACACAATCTCCATTTCCACCCTGGGTCCTATAGCCAGGCACAGTGACAGTATTTTTCCCTCTCCTTCAGCACCAATGAAGGTCTGTAGATGGGGGTTGGGACCAGGTCAATGTGGTGTCCACTCTTTCCCTTTTTCTAACTTAAAGAGATCCTTTTCCAGGAAAAAGGTCATGAGCACTGCTGTCCTCTTCAATTGTTCATTCCTTCTTACCTGTGAAAGAGTATGGGTAGGTAGAAGTCTTATCACTGATTCCAGGGCAAAAAGCCCAATAGTAGGCTGAGCTTTATTAAAGCTTAACTGTGCTAAAAATCAGGTCATTTTAGGTTTAAGTTGGGTTTGGTGATAAGGGAATACAAGTGGAGACTTGAGTGTTAAGTAGAGAAGGGAGTTGAGAGGAGGGGTCTCTTGGGTCTTTGTATAAGGCATTGGGCATACCATGCCCTTCTGTAGATCTTGCATGATTTGTTCCCTCCACAGAAGGTCCGATGGTTAATGGAGTTTCTGTGGTCAGGGAGCCACGTTTAAGATGGGGCAGAGGAAGTGCAGAGGAGAAAGACATGTGAAATGAAATTTCACCAACACCTAAGTAATTGGAATGAGGGGAAGGACAGGAGAAAGGGGCAAGCCCTAACAAGGGAAGGGTAATTTGGAATGCAGAGGAGCTACATAGGGTGTTGAGAGTTTTATCTGGATGGAAGATGAGTTAACCTGCACACATTACAAGAGGAGTACTGTGTCCAGCCTCTCGGGGGCCAGAATGCTGACTAAGAAACTAGCTCCTTCTGCCCATTCCAGTGTTCCTACTGCAGTGCCCCGGGCTTCTGGCCACTCTCCCACTCAACTTTCATGCTGTCAGACTCCACATTTCCCTTCCTATGACCCTCTTTCTCTGAAGCAAACTATCTTGTAGTAATTTGTTTCCAGAGAGGGCAGAGTAGCTGTTTAGGATATCCTTCAATTCTGGTAGTTCAGGTTCCAAAAGACTTCTCTCACCAAAGAGTCAGCTGCCTCTGCCTAGCTCCCCAACCCATTTTAAACTCAGCTCCTACAATTACTTTTCACTACCACCCCCTTGACCTCTTACTGAAAGCAAGACTAGACTTGGCTGTTCCCACTGCAGACAGAAATATGTCAGGCTTTGGAACGCAAACCACTCTTCAGGGACCCAGACCTCCCATTGCTTTGGCAGTCATTCCTGGGATCTGAAAATCCAAGGAAGGAGATGGGGATCAGGGTCTTGCAGGAAGTGAGAGTAAGAGAAGATTAAGTCAAAAGTCAAGGGTAAAACATTTGGATTCTTTTATTTGAAAACTTAAGAATATTAAAAACTTTCAATATAAAAAAATAAAACAAGACTGGCCCAAAGATATCTCTGCCTGGGAATTAAGTGATGGCCAGAGAGGCTGGGCATGGTAGTGTACATGTGTAATACCAGCTACTTGGGAGGCTGAGGCAGGAGGATCATGAGTTCAAGGCCAGCATGGGCAGCATAGTAAGACACTGTTTCAAAGAAAAAGAAGAAAAAGTGACTAGAGAGCCGAGATTTTTTTTTTTTTTAAATCATAAACCAGTCTAGGGCAGATTCATCTTCTTGGGGCAAGATGAAGGAAGGAAGAGGGGTAGACATAGCCTGGTAAACTGTTTATCCCTTCTCTACATGGTCCAGTTTCAATATGAGAATATGTGTTTTGTCACCTAATCAGATAGGTCCTGATATGGAATATGAAGACCAATAAAGTCTCATCCCTCTCTCTTGAAGAGCTCACATATTTAAAGGGAGACCAACCAGGTACAGAACAGATGCACAATTTCTTTGCTCATGCTGTGAGAAATGCTTAGCCAGCAGCATCAGTGAGCACTGTGGAAGCACCAAAAGAGCAGTAGTTGAATCCTACCTCAGGCCACCAAGATTACCTGTTAAAATCTGAGTTAGCTCTGAAGGATTTGTATATGACCAGGAAAAGAGCCAAGCAAGTGGAGGGACCGTGGTTGTCTCAGGACCTACTGAGATAGGTCAAGTGCATACTTCACACATGGGTCAGGGCTGCCTCCTGCACTTTGCTACGGTCACTATATTCAGCTTAGTTAGGCCTTGTCTGGGAACAGGTGTATCTCTTGATCTTCTGCCCAAAAAATCCCTATGATGAAAGAAATTGTGTTGATGACAGCCTCTTTCAAAGGACTATCTGTCCACAAACTGTAGGTTGATGCTTCTTTCGGGCACGAGGACAGTCCGGGTCATGGGTCTGACAGGAGGAGCACCTGGCTCAGGCAACACCTCAAAATGGGTCAAGATCTGGAAAGGGAAGAAGAAGGCTATCACCATGGGTGAGAGGGAATCTATAATGGGAGGATTAACTGGCAAAGGGCTTTATTAGTGTTAGAATAGTTGGGGTGGCATCTCTGGGCAGTAGGGGCCTTCTTGGTCAGTAAGGGTAAGGGATTATAGAAGGCAAAAAGACAGTCCAAATATCCTTGCTTATACTTCAGACCTATAATGGCATTCCCATATTTTCAAGGATTAGGTCTGCCAGGTTTTACATGTTTTCCTATGCTCATCATGTGACAAGAGCTCACAGTTTAGAGGGGTTGAGTTTCTCAGTCTGGGTACATAAGCTCTCTAACACTTACCTGGGCCAAAGCTATTTGAAGCTCAAGCTCAGCCAAGCGTCTCCCCATGCAGCTGCGCTTGCCAAAGCCAAAGGGAAGAGATGCAAATGGGTGGGGGGCTGGGCCCTCCCCCAGCCAGCGAGCTGGGCGAAAACTGTTTGGCTCTGGAAACTGGGCAGGATCCCTTGAAGTGGCATAGTGACACAGAGAGACCAGCGTCTGGTGGGAGTGGAATCAAACTTGTCAGTTTGGACTCAGAAGCAAAGAGTTAGGTAGAGTGGGGATAGTTATGAAAAAGAAAATCTATGGACTGGGATAAAGTCAGGTTCTGGTTGACAGGGAAGTTTTCTGGGGCTACTTTTGGAATTATTTCTCTGCTGTCCCATTGTACTCAAGAGAAAGGAATTCAGATCAAGGGGAAGGTTTGAAGGGTGTCTGAGAACAGGACTGGGGCCCAAGATAGTAAGGAGTGGCTCAGAAAAAGGGGCTTCATAGGCTATACTCACATTTTTGGGGATAATGTAGTCACCCACATGAATGTCTTTGTCTGGAACACGGGAATTTCCAGGTACTACAGGGTACAGTCTAGGTTGCAGAGCAAAAGATAGGGAAAAGCAAGATGATGCTAGGGGAGATAGCCTCTTTCTCATTGCCTCCAACTTCCAAACCCAATTTTGGCCAGCCATAGAATACCATTTTTCTCCTTTCTCCCTGCTTCCCCAGCCTTTCCTCTAGTTCCTCTTCTCCTCCCCCCTCACCTTAGTACTTCCTTGACCACAGCTTTCAGCAGGGGGAGCTGGGACAGAACTGTGGCTTGCGGGTGGGCACAGGAGCCTGGGCCCAGGGTAGCTGTGATCTCAGAATGGAGTGCCCTCTGGACTTCAGGATGCCGGGAGAGTTCATAGAGAGCCCAGGAAAGTGTGTTGGACACCTGAAGGGCCAGGAGAGAGCATCTTAGGTGTTAGGTATGGGGCCTAGTAGAGGCGGCAGAATATGAAGCAGTCTGGGGCCAAGAATGTGCGAAATCAAGGGATTAATTGAGCCCCTTCATGACCATAGGGGATTCCCTGAAGCAGAAAAGTGGCACCAGAGACTGGGGAGGATAAACTCCGGAAGTGGGTCTCTCAGGGTAGAGGGTGAACCTCACCGTGTCCACTCCAGCCAGTAGCAGCTCTGTCACATTCCCCAGGATGGACTGGGCAGACACTTTCTCCCGGAAAAGGAAGTAGGTCAGGTGTGCCCCAGATGGCATGTTCTTTTCAGGGTTTCCCTGGTTCATCGTGGCTACCTCGGCCTCTCGCCGCTCCACGAGCTGCTGGGCTACATGGGGAAAAGACACCCTGATGCCTCACTACCTCTGAGAAGTTGTACTTTTCCCCATTCCCAATCCTCTTCTGTGTCTTACCAAACGCAAACATCTGGTCCCAGTCTCGGCAGAGGCGGGCCCAAGGTCCCGGCACTAGGCGATGCAGCCAGCTGGGCATCGCCATGGTTAACAGCGTAGACACAAACACCGAGCCTACCGCGCGGATGAAAGTCTCGGTGTCCGGGGGCACTTCAGCCTCCAGGCAGCCCAGGCGAGAACCCAGTAGCACCGCGGCTATGCCTGGCCAGGAGGGGGCGCTGTAAGGGCACTGGGAGATCGCTCGGGTGTCTCCCACACCTACCCCTAATTTTGTTTTGGCATTCACCTTCCAGTCCAAACTTGTAAAACTCTCCCGCCACATCCCGAACCAGGGCGGGCGGCCCGGTGCCACGTCCCCTCTGGCGCCTTAGTCGTCGCACAAGATCACAGACCACTTTGTCCAGGGTTTCGGCATAGCCAGCAGCCGCTTGAGGCCGGAGGAGAAGCGGCGCCAAAAGACTACGGAGCTTCTGCCATTCTTCACCTTCCCTGCAGGGGTGCAGAGAGAGGGCGCACTAGGGAGGTGGGGATATCTGAAGATGGCTTGACTGGGGTGGCCAAGTATTGCGTCTCCTCCTTCCAGATAAAAAAAAAAAAAAGCTACCCCTGCCTGTGCCCATCTTCCATGTTTCTACCTTCTTTACTCATTTTCTACCCGCCCTTCCTCCGGGGGCGGGGAGGACTGAGTTCCCGGGTAACCTGAGCAAAATAATCTTACATTCTATCCAGATTCTGTACCCTCGCCTTTTCAGGCTGTTACCTCGGTTCCCAGGATTCTGGTCTCTAAGTATAAGGAAGTGAGTGGAGATCGAGAGCAGGGTTCAACCTGAGTTTGGATGGAACAGACTGGAGAACCCTGAGATGCTGGAAGGTTGCAAGAAACAGCGGAGCTTTCTCTAAGCCTCTGCATATATTGGGTTGCAACTCACTAGGACTCGCTGTCAGGAGTATGAGCTTTGAGGGCAGAGAGGACTCACGCGGTAAGTAGTCCGCAAGCCCGCTGGTGGCGGCGACGGTGCTCCGCCCAGGACGAGAAGCTGCAACGCTCTGGCCGAGGACCCTCTTGTCTCAGGAGCTGTTCGACGAGTGCAGGGGAGGCCAAATACACTGTGCGCAGGGTCCCGAATCTGGCAAGCCACATGGGGCCGAAGCGCGCAGCACCCTGCACCTGGGAAAACCCATGCAGCAGACACTAGGATACCCTGGATGGGCACTGAGTTTGGCTTGTGCCAATGCCAAGGGCTAGGCTTGGGACCCATGAGCTTCTTGAGTGCCCAGCTAAGTATATGGCCCCAATGCTTGAAACTCCTTCTCTACGGTCTTGGAAAGTTTGAATGTGGTGGGCCAAACGGAGGAATTTTGTGTCATGCAGACATTCAGGACCTCTTTTTGGTCATCTGGGCAAACCAAGGAGGAGAAAAAAAAAAAAAGCTTCCCCCACCTGAGCTGTCTATTTCAGGAAGAGTCCCTAGCGAATGAAAGTGAACGCGGTAGATTTACAGCCAAATGTGCAGGAGGATCCTCAGCACTACCTTTCAGGCATTCTTATCTTACAGGGTCAGGAAACGTTTGTACAGAGAGAAAGCTCTGAGGGCAACCCCTTGATTCTGCACTCGTCGAAATACCTTCCCCGACCCCAGTCCCATCAAGCCTTTTTTTTTTTTTTAAATAATTCATGGGCATCCATTCTCACCAACTGTCCTACGTTCCGTCCTTGCTGGCGTTATCAAAGCCAGTTCCCCCAGCTCCAGGAACAGACTTGTCCCTTCCTACCTGCAGTTCGTGTAGTCTCGACAGTCCCCCTTTGCAGAAAAGTTCAGCCAAGAAGGCAGGCATGGAGGGGCCGGGGATGTCTGCCAAGCTCCGGGGCGTTGAGTTGGAGCCTTGGGAGGCGCCCAACTCAGGAGCCCAGCGGACCCGATGGAACACTCTGGAGAACTTGAGGGTTTGGGTCATGGTGCAGTTCAGAGAACCCGAGAAAGAGAGCCCTTCTCTGGCGCATTTGGACTACTTGCCTGAACCCCTTATTTAAGCCCTGACAAGGCAGTGACAACACCCCTTCTCAGAGCTTCTTAGCCAATCCCGTTTTCCTGAGTGGTCTATGTTCAAGATTAGCACTCAAAATCAGTAAGCAGGTCTGGGATTAATTTTGTGGCTTTTTTGGATCTCATGCTGCAATGACCCTTATGGGAGGGGAGGCCTGTCTCAGTTTCTCCTTGGTAGTTAGTGCCCTAATCCAACAGCTAAAGGTCTTTTCTGGGGAAAGATTATTTAGTATTTATTACAGGAGATAACCTTGGGGTAATTCCCACTTCCCCAGGGAACCAAGCCCCTATTGAGCCATCATTAGGAATTCCTCATCCTCCAGCTTCTCCACAAAGGAAAAGAAGGGAAACCTAGTAGAGGCTGTAACTGTCCCCACATTTTTGGCTTGGGGTGCATTTGCGTTCTCTGTGCAGATGAGCAGGATTTTCCTGCACTAGCCAAGTCTACCTTTCCCATTGTATCATACTCATACTAGGCAGGTGGCAGGTGGGTTAATGGGTTAAAATGGCTTCAGGCACCTTATGTTTCTTCAGGAAGGGTCTCTTAGGTCAGTGAGTGCTCTTTCTACCCATGGGAATCTGGAGTTTGAGGAACAGAAATGAAAGAACTTTTTGCAAAGTAGAAAAGTTTGGAAATTCTCTGGACTGTTGGATGAGCAAGGGCTGAGTGCATGCTCTGAATTCCTAGCGGACTCAGTCTCCTTTTAAGTAGCTGTCTGGTCAATCACTCCTTTCCACTTTTAGCTTTAAAATTCTCCATAGTTTAGGGCTGGAATTGTGGCTCAATGGTAGAGCACTTGCCTAGTATGTGTGAGGCACTGGATTTGATCCTCAGCACCACATATAAATAAATGAATAAAATAAAGATCCATCAACATCTAAAAAATGTTTTTTTTAAAAAGAGAATTCTCCATAGTTTAGATCTCTGCTCCTTACATCTCACTCCCCTCACTATCCGTGTCTGGCACTGTGCCAGTCAGCTCTGAAGTTCTGGAATCAAAGGTTTACATGGAAAAAGAGAGGGTCTCCACCCCCTTACCACCAGGGATTCTCCAAGACAGCAACAATAAAGGGAGCAGAGATTGCCCCAGTCAAGTCTTAGGCAGGGAGAAGATGAGAGGCGGCTCCTGATATACCCCCCACCAATGTTTCCCGAGAAATAGCAGCACGGGCATGCGTGAGCATGCATACACATTATTCCTCAAGACTGCAAAGAAAACACAAGTGGACAAATGATTTGAGCTGAGTAGACAGTTTAGACAGTGGGACATTGCATTCCGCATCCCACATAAGGAGAGTCCCCACAAGGAGCAGGGAGTACTACAGGAGGACAAGACCCCACATCCTTCCAAAGGTCTCCTCTGGCCAAGGTTCTTTGTCCTTCCCAGTTATCTGCTTGTGCTTTCTGCTGGCATTGGAGGAATGAGAAAGTGAGAACACCTCCCCAACTTTTGGAGAGAATGCAGTCTCCCAGCCCCACCAGGCTCAGGTGGGAAGGCCCAATCTCTTTGGAAGAGGCCTGATCTTCTTTCCTGTCCCTGGAAGATGGGGTTCAGCTAAGGTAGGGTAGGCAGTCAGTGACCAGGCAGGGTAGAATTGGGGGTCAATGCCTAGAGAGCAGGATCCTGTATTCTTCGGAAGATAGCTGGGAAATTCTTTCCTCCATTACGTAGAACTTTCTTTCCCTCCTCTGTTGAGGTGCCTAGATGTCTTATAATGGGATCTTCACTCTGGAAAAAGGAATGGTCCAATAAGTCCTTGCCCACTTTTCAGACTCCCAAACCCCTAGACTGCCATCCCATCCTCCTGGCCCTGACCTGGGTTCAAAGAGTATAGAAGCACTCTGGAAAGGACCTTCATCCTTACATTTCCCCTAGGCCCTTTACTTACCAGCTCTTCCAGAGGCACACGCTCAAACAAGGGGTGCCCTTCAAAATGGGTGCACATCCAGTGGTGTAGCTCCAGCACATCAGTTATGGTATATACCAGCCCCTGCATAGGCAAAATCAGCCTAGGTAAGGGCTGTATGCAACTGAGCAGCAAAATGATGAGAGTGATGATGGAAGTTCCTAAATACATTTCCAACTAATTATTAGTGAAGATTCCAAGTAAGCCACTCACCCCTCCTCCTTCCCAACTCACCCCAACTCTTAGTACATAGGCATATTCTGCCAGCAGTGTGGGACTGATGATTCGCCACTTGTGCTTTGTTCGCTTGAAGTGTGGATCAGGAAAGAGGAAGAACATCTTTGTCAACTGTGAGACAGATAGGCACCAACAAGGTTGAGACCTGGCCTCTAGGCCTGGCCTGCTTACCAGCCTAACCCACCAGGTCCCCTCCCCACCTGGCCTTTGCGGAAGAAGTTAGGAAGGTGCTTCATGGCATTACTACGGAGGCAGGCAATGTTCTGGAAGCCACCTCCAGGGGCTGTGCGAAGTGCCCGAATCCGGTCTTGTACATAGTCTGAGACCTTCACACGTATCTCCAGACCCAGAATCAGAGTGTCTGGAAACAGTGGTGATAGTTCCACTGGAAACAGAAATAGCAATGGGATCATCAACCTCATACTTGTGGAAATTCAAAGGGGTCAACACAAGAAAGGAGGACTCAATCTACAACTACCAAAGCCAAGAATGGGTATGATATACCTATATGAATTATTCTCTGCTGGGGATGAGTTGAGGGAGATACAAAAATTGTCACCAGGATTACAATGGGAAGGCTGAGTTACATATGCAATTTCCTTTACAGTTTTCACAGTGATTTCATACATGGTCTTATTTAATTTCTATAAGATTCTACAGTAGACTGAGAAGATGAGGACTCTAAGGGCCAGAAATGTTCAAGATCATAGAGCTAAGAAGGGGTAGAGCTGGAACTTAAACCAAGGTTTTCTACCTCTAAGTACCATGTTCTTCTCCCTATCGGGATGTTATCTGTATGGGAAGATCTAAAACTAGGGAAGTGGCTTGACATGCATACCTGAAACAATAAAGACAGTATAATAGGATCCCAAAAACATAAGAGTGGAGAAGAAAAAATGTGACTAGTTGAAGGTATGGTGGGGGTTAGGGAAAGTGGTGGAATCCCTGAGAAAGACAGTTTAGGATCACTGACCACAGCAGCTAATCTCTGACGCTTGTGCTGACCGGATCACTGACCCAGCACCTGGCAGGCAAAATGGGGCTCAAGTAGGGACTGAGGCCAGACAGAACAAATGAGGTTCTAAGAGGCATTTGAGGCAACCTCCTCCCTTCTCCAAGGCAAAGGCCACACATCCAGAAGGGAGGTGGGAGGCTTTCCACACTGATGTCACCAATGTCTTAAGGGGGAAAGGTCACATGTAGTCCCCATCAAACCTGCTGAAGTAGCAGAATCTAGGCCCCTCCTCACTCCAGAGAAAAAGCCAGTGTTACCTAACAGGCCACCATAGCCACAGCCTATGTCTGCAAATTCCACTTGGGCCTGAGCTCGATTTTCTTTCTTATCCTTTGGATCATCATGGCTCTGATTTTGAGTGAGTGGGGCAAAGAACTCTGGATATAGCTCAGACCAGTCCATGTCCTCTGGCTTCACAGGGCTATAGGAAAAAAGACATAAGACATGTAAGAATATTGGTTATGCAATTTTTCAGAAGTGGTATTGCATGTGTATGGGTGGAGTATACAGAGGAGGATTTCTCAAAAATTCTGTAACACTAGACCCTAGTAGGCACAACGGAAAGCCCCCTCGCTCCCAGTGTGAATCACAGGCCCATTATGAGGCCCACAAGTTCCCCTTCTTCTAGAGACTGCCTAAGGCACTGAGATCCTCCTATTTTGTGTGCTCTGCGAGGAGAGAGTAAGATAAGGAGTGTAGGATTGTGTATATCTTTGTGGTTTTTTGTTTTGTTTTTGTTAAACCCAGCAAACAAAAGTGAAAGACGGAAACGACAACCTGCTTCTTCACTCTAGTTTCAGTAACTCTCTTCCCAGATTTGGCACCGCTACTAGATTTGGCACGCCCCCTTCCAACTGGCCAGCTCAGCCCTCAGCCAAATCTCTCCGATCCACCCCCTAACTGACGTCACCCAGTCGATTCTCCCGGGTCCATCCCAATCCTCCCTACAGTCCCAGCACAATTGCTCTCCCTGGCTGCTCCGAGGCTCCAGCCCTCTTTCCGCTCCCCCTCCCCGGCTCCTCACTAGCGCAGCGTGTGGTCCGCCATAGGGTTGGAGTGGGCGCGTTGCCTGTAGTAGCGCTTCTGAGGCTGCGGGGCCTCAGCTCCCACTGGGTTTCCAGTCTCGGTTCCCGCCATGATGCCGGGTCGCGGGTTTCACAGCATCCACGTGGAGACCGAGGCCGAGGCGCAAGGTAATGACGCATAAGCATGCTGCAAGCAGGTCCCGCCCCCTTAAAGACCCAAGAGCAAATTCGACTGGGCTGAGCTGGGAGGAGCTCAAGGGTCGAGTGCCCGAGCTGGCCTCCGCACCGCTAGTTTCTAAGCCGTTTGGCAAGGCCAGTCCGGGCACCAACCTCTTCTCTTAGGCTGTTTCTGCACGGTCTGATTACCATGCCTGGCTGCAGGTACCTGTGCACCCCACAGGTAGGAGGGATCTGGCGGCCTCGCCTCCTACAGTGGAATCAAGCACGTTTCTCTTTCCTCTCCCCGATCCCGAGCCCCCTGGCGAGGACACACACACACACACACACACACACACACACACACACACCTGTCTGTTCCTAAGTAGGTCCTGTTGGGTATGTACTAGGGACCAAGGCAGGAGGGGCAGCTTCTCATTCCACCTCCAGGAAGTCCATCTGGAGAAAGGAGTGCTGACTCGGGGAGGCGGGGCTCGATGCCACGGGGAAACCGAGACGGGGGATGCGGGGGCGGCCCTCAACCTCTACTCCGCCGCAGACCCGGGATCCGAGCACCCGCCGTGGCTCCGATGTACTCTCTTGCCGGATGGCGAACTGCCGCCGGGATCCTGAATCAGAGCCGGAGTCAGTGTTCCCTCACGAAGTCGGCCTCTTTACTGACTCTTACTCCGAGAAAAGCCGGTTCTGTTTCTGTGGGCATGTACTGAACATCACGCAGAATTTTGGTTCACGACTCGGGGTGGCTGCAGGCGTGTGGGATTCGGTGAGAAAAGGGCTATGCCAGTTGAGGGTCCCTGGGAGGTACCACCGACCCTCGATTCCTAGTCTTCCCTATGGAGTCATCTCTGCTACTCTCTTTTCTCTCCCCCACCCCTCATAGGCTCTGAGCTTGTGCAACTATTTCGAAAGTCACAATGTGGATTTTCGAGGCAAGAAGGTGATCGAACTGGGCGCAGGGACCGGCATCGTGGGAATCTTGGCAGCGCTGCAGGGTGTGTGAGCTGGCATTGCGGAGGGAGGGGTTGGGGAACGGGAATGTGGAGAAATGGTCACTTCGTGGACTCTTGGGAGAGGGCAGTGCTTTGGGTTCAGCCCTGTCCCTCTCTTTAACAACCCCCCCCCACATACCCCCACCCCTACATACCCCCACCCCCACCCCCGCCACCTTCTTCTGTGACAGAAAGCACTAATTAGCTGTCAGAGCACCCAGGATGGTTGATTTGAGGGCAAGAAATAAAAATTGGGCAGATCTTGTAGAAGTAGTTTCTACTTTTGGTGGTGGTGGGGGGAGGCGTATCAATGATTGAACCCAGGAGTGCTTAATCACTGAGACATCCTCTATCCTTTCTGTTTTTTTTTTTTATCTTGAATTCTGAGACATTGTCTTGCTAAAGTTGCTTTGAGCCTCGCTCAATTGTTGAGGCTGACCTTGAATTTGCAGTCCTCCTGCCTCAGCCTCCCCAGTCATTGGGGTAACAGGTATGTGCCACCAATCCAGATAGTTTCTATCTTTTTGCTCTCTGTGATTTCATGGGGGAGTTTGTCAATTAAAATCCCCTTTGGGCATGGCATAGTGGCCCATGACTATAATCCCAGTGACTGGGGAGGCTGAGTCAGAAGGATTGCAAGTGTAAGGCTAGCCTAAGCAACTTAGTGAAGCCCTAAGCAACTTAGCCAGACCTTATCTCAAAAAATAAAAATAAAAAGGGCTGGGGATGTGGTTTAGTAATAAAGCACCCCTGAATTAAATCTCCATTACAAAAACAAGACAAAAAAAATCCTCTTTGGCTTGGAGGTGGTCTTCTGTCAAAATGCATATGTGGGGGTATCATGTAGAAAAGTGACCTGTGGGTATTAAACCTTGTGACTGCTTTAGACTTCATTATGTATTAATATATGTTAGATTCCTTGGGTTTTTGGGAAGTGGGGGTAGGAATTAAGCATGGCAGACTTGGAAAAGGAAAGGGTAAGGAAAAGTTTGCTTGTATCAAGAACCAAAAACTAAAAAAAAAGTCTATTATAATCTAAGGAACAGACAAACCCTACACTGAAAAGCAATTATCTAAAAACTTTTTTTTTTTTTTTTTGGAGTGGTATCAGGGGTTGAACCCAGGGACACTTAACCACTGAGCCACATCCCTGGCCCTTTTTTATTTTTTATTTTGAGGCAGGGTCTCACTGAGTTGCTTAGGGCCTTGCTGAGGCTAGCCTTGAATTTGCAATCCTCCTGCCTCAGCCTCCCAAATGCCAAAGAGAATTTTAATTGACAAATCCCCCATGAAATCACAGAAAGCAAAAAGATAGAAACTGCAGGGAGCAGTGGTACATGCCTATAATCCCAGTGACTTCCCAGTGACTGGGAAGCTGAGGCAGGATTGCAAGATCAAGATGAGCTTGAGCAATTTAGTGAGGCCCTAAGCAACTCTTGTCTCTAAATAAAATACAAAAAAGGACTGAGGATGTGGCTCAGTGATTAAGTGCACCTGGGTTCATTCCCTGGTACCCCCCCAAAAAAACCACCCAAAAAAACAAATATGAATGAAGTCATGCAAATTAGCATGCCCTTGTTCATAAAAGCAAAACTAGGTTTTGGGAACCTAGTTAAGGTTCCTATATTAAATGAAATATTTTTTAAAAATAATTATTTTTTAGTTGTAGTTGGACACAACACCTTTGTTTTATTTATTTATTTTTATGTGGTGCTGAGGATCAAACCCTGGACCTTGCACATGCGAGGCAAATGCTCTATCTCTGAGCCACAACTCCAGCCCCCCTTTTTTTTAATTAAAAAAATTTTTTTTTTAGTTGTTGATAGACCTTTGTTTTTTATTTATTTATTGCGGTGCTGAGAATCGAAGCCAGTTCCTCATACATTCCAGGCAAGTGCATTACCTCTGAGCCACAGTTCCAGCGGCTAAAGGAAGTCTTCCCAGAGATAAGCATTCCTTCAACCAATAGTATTCCAAGTTCCCTAAGTGCCAGAAGTCATGCTAGATATTGGGAATTCAACAGTGATTTTCCAGGACTCCATAAGGAGCTTGTGGTTTAGTGGAGAAAATGGGGGGAAGCTGTTCAAGAGCTTTGGTGATGTATGTACAGAGCCAGTAGACTTGCTCTGGCCCTGTCTACCTTAACTCCCTGGGAATCCATCATGGGGGGAGCTCTGTTAGGTGAGGAGGAGATGAACATTGTGAAAACAGGGAATGTCAACAGCAACTTTTCCATGAGGGATGAATGGAAAAGTGTCAGGTAGTTATATTAACAGGAGAAAAAGCAGGCATATATATATTTTTAAGATGTGAATTGTTTTTACTAATTTTTAATATATATGAATATATATATTTATATTTATTTATACTTTTATTTATTGATTATTATGTGGTGCTGAGGATCGAACCTGGGACCTCGCACGTGCTATGCTGAGCCACAATCCTAGCCCCAAAAGCATCCATATAATGCACTTACCTTCACTTGCTACCAGACTAGCCTCTTTTCCTTTGCTCCCTGTTAAGTTGCCAAGTTAGAAATCTGAGTGTTATCTATCTATCTTTCCATCTATTTATCTATCTATCTTCTGTCTATCTCTCTTTTCTTGGTACTGGAGATTATACCCAGAGGCACTTAACCACTGAGCCACATCCCCATCCCTTTTTATTTTTTTATCTTGAGAGCAGATCTTACTAAATTGCTAGGGCCTCTCTAAATTGATGAGTCTGGCCTTAAATTTACAATCCTCCTGCCTCAGTCTTCCTTGCCACTGGGATTACAAGTGTATGCCACCACACCCAGCTATGAGTGTCATTTTGTCTCTTTCCCTTTCCCTCGAATTCCTGGTAATCATCCAGTCCTTGCATTATATGTCCTTAGCTCTTCCACAGTTATCTGCTCTACTTCCCACCACGTTGAGTTCAGGCCATTACCATTTCTTGCCTGTTTTTTCACAAGAGCCTTCATGCTTCCCTATGCGAAAGTTTGGCATACCCAACCTAGATTCTGTGATCCTCCCTCAGGCTTCCTCATTTTGGTGAATCAAACCACCATCCTCCCAATGTACCTAGACATCACCTTTCACATGTCATTGTTTATCACCCCTATATCATTATTCAAGTCCTATTGATTTTATCTCCTGAAAAATCTCCTGGATTTTTTCATGTATTGTCATATCCACTGATAGCTTCCCAGTCCAACCCACCATCACCACTTGCTTGGACTGCAACATAGTCATACTAGTCTTCCTACCTTGACTTTTTGTCCCTACTTAGACTTCTGCCCACTCCACTCAGCAGTCAGAATGACTTTCAAAATGCAAATGTGGAACTGGGCACCTTGGTGCATTCCTGTAATTCCAGCAGTCTGGGAGGCTGAGGCAGGAGTATCATGAGTTTGAAGCCAGCCTCAGCAAAAGCAACTCAGTGAGACCCTGTCTCTAAATACAAAATAGGGCTGGGGTGGTGGCTCAGTGGTCAAGTGTCCCTGAGTTCAGTCCCCAATACCAAAAAAATGCAGATATAATCACACCCAACCCCATGCCAAAACTTTTAGTGGGTTCTTTTTGTACTAGTGATTGAATCCAGGGCTTTACATGTACTGAACAAGAGTTCTACCACTGAGCTAAATCTCCAACTCTTATTTTATTTTGAGACAGGGCCTTGAACTTGTGATCCTTCTGCCTTAGCCTCCTGAGAGCTGGGATTACAGATGTGCACCTAGCTCTCCAGCTTCTTTTTGTTCTTCTCTTTCCTTCCTGTCCTCTTTATGCTATTGCCCTTTTGTTGGTTCCACAACCTACTTTGATGTTCCCTTCCTTGGGGACTTTATACAGGCTGTACTTTCTGTCTGAAACCCTTTTGCTACCTGGTTAATGCATATACATTCCTCATTGCTCAGCTCAACTATCACTTCCAAGGAAAATCTTCTTTGATAATTCCACCCCAGGCCAGTTTAGGCCTTTCTAGTACATATCCATCTGTACTCATTGGTCTCATTTTAAATTTGCTATCACTGACAGGTGGGTCTTAAATGCTAGTCTGTTACACTTCCCCTTTTCTGCTTATTCTTCCACTCCCCTAAACATCTGTTTCTTCCTTTCTTGTTCTTCAAAACTGAGTGCCTCTTCCACTATCACCCTCAGCTGATGACTTTGTTTCCCATCTCCTGATTGCTTGTATTTTCTCAAAAAATGTCCACATGCTCCTGCTGCAACATCTATTCTCCTGGGTCTGAGTCTGATACATTGCCTTCTGCTTTGTTGTTGTTTTTAGTGGTATTAGGGCTAGAACTCAGGGACCCTCTACCAATGAACTACACCCTCAGCCCTTTTTATTTTATTTTGAGACAGGGTCTCACTGAGTTGCTGAGGCTGACCTTAAACTTGTGATCCTTCTGCATCAGGCTCCCAAGTGGCTGAAATTACAGGTGTCCACCAACACATCTGGCTGCCTTTTGCCTTGTTATCATGGATCAACACACTGTGCTAGCTATAGTCAAACCCTCCATTTGTCTAAAGATTCTAAATTTTCCCACCAGCTCAAAGACACCGTTCCAGCAACAGCCCCCAAGCATCTTCTGTATTGTTGATTTTTCCTTCTCTTTGGGTTTTATTCTCCTCCCCTCTCTCTATATGTGATTATGTCTATGTATAATTATGTCTACTGTCTACACATATTTTATGTTATTATATACACATACATACATAAATATACTATAATTTCTCCTATCTCAGAAAAAAATACTCTGATCCTACATCTCCCTCCAGATACCAAGCCATTTTTTCTGCTCTGCTTTTTTTAAAAAAAAAATTCCTCAAAAGAGTTATTGTCCACTGTCTCTGCTGCTTCTTCTATGTTTTTTCTCCATCCATTCCAATCCAGACTGCACCATGCCTTTCACTTCAATGGCTCTAGTTAAGGTTATGAGCTTCCTTTCAACTTTGTATTGTTAAACCCAGGAGTCTGTCCTCAGCCCACCTCAATCGACTCTGCATTTGACATTGCCACTTCCTCCTTGAAACTTTCTTTGTTTTCTGGAGTGCCACACCTGTTTCTGCCTGCCTGACTGGCACACTTTTCCCTTCTCTTTTGTCAGTGGCTATTCATCTTCGCAACTAAAAATTTGAGTGCCCCAGAGCTCAGGTAGTAATCTTTTGACCTTTTCTTTTTTCTGACTACATTCCCTCCTGAGCACTCTCAACACTTTGTGGCTTTGAATGTCCTTTTCATGTTTGTGACTATCTACTCAGTATCTTTATGCAGTGTCCAGAAACGACATTATAATTTCCTATTCAAACCACCTGCTGTAGCATTATTTGTTCAGTTGAATGGCAATTTGGTTTTCTAGTTAGGCCAAATGTCTGAAAACTATCCGAACTTTCCCTCTTTCTCTGTCATATTTCATATTCAATCTATTGGCAAATCCTGTGGACTCTATCTCCAAAATATATTCAAAAATATATTCTTTTGATATTTGAATATATTAAAAATACATTTGGTGGTACATGACTGTAATCCCAGCAACTTGGGAGACCAAAGCAGGAGGCTTAAATTTGAGGACTAAGTTTGAGGCCAGCCTGGGCAACTTAGCAAGACTTGTCTCAAAATAAAAAATAAAAAGGGATGGGGATGTAGATCAGTGATAGAGTACCCCAGGTTCAAATCCCCTAATGCCCTTTAATTGCAGAAATCAAAACACATCCCTTAAAACATTAAATCAGTTTATGCCTTTCTTCCATTTAAAATTCTTCCACAGTTTCCCAGAAATTTGAAAGCCAGATTTCTCAATCTTCTTATAAGACCCTGACTATAATTCAGTGCCTACTGTTGTCCCCTTTACTCTCTACTCTAGCTTCTGACACACTGTTCCTCACTCGCATCAGGCACCAGAGTCCTACCTCAAGGTCTTTTTGCTTGCTGTTCTGTCACTTGGTAGACTTTAGCCTGAGAGATCCACATGATTTGCTCTATGGTGCCTTCAGGTCTTTGCCCAAACATAACCTGCTTATGGAGACTTTTCCCAATCATCCAATTTAAAATGACACTCCCTGTCCTGATCCTTAGACATTTCTTATTTCTTTTCTTGCTTGACATTTCACCATAACACTTATTACCATTTGACATATGGTGTATTGTATTTCCTTTTTTTTTTAATATTTATTTTTTGTTCTTGGCGGACACAACACCTTTGTTGGTATGTAGTGCTGAGGATCGAAGCTGGGCTGCACACATGCCAGGCAAGCGCGCTACCGCTTGAGCCACATCCCCAGCCCCCCCCTTTTTTTTTTTAATTGTTGTCATCTGTTTCTTGCTACTAGACTGTAAGCTCCATAGGGAGGGGACACTTGTCTGGCTGGTTCACTGCTGTAGTCGCAACACCTGGCATATAAGCACATGATAAAAATGAATGAATTCATCCTTAGTATTTCCTACATCTCTTTCTATAATACTCATCATGATTATAGTTAAATAATGATTTTTAATTTATAGTTAAATAGTTAATTTTGCAGTACATAGTGCATTTCTACCTCTAGAATAAAATTCAAGGAAAGCTGAGGTTTTGTTTTGCTCTCCACTGTCTCCTTAGCACTTCTGGGTGCTCAATTTATTGCATGAATGCTTTCTGAAATGCTAATCTGATCTTCACCCTGCTTTTTTTTTTTTGGTACTGGTGATTGAACCTAGGGACACTTAACCACTGAGCCACATCACCAGCCCTTTGAAAATATTTTTATTCAGAGACAGGGTCTTGCTAAGTTGTTAGCTTTGAACTTGCGATCCTCCTGTCTCAACCTTCCAAGCTGCTGAGGTTACAGGTGTGCACCCCCATGCCCAGCCCTGCTTCTCATCTTAAATCCTATTGCCCTCTATGAAACCTGAATCTCCTTAGCATGTTATGGTCTTCTTTTCTCATGTCTTGACACTTTTCTGTTCCACAACCTTTAAGTTACAGCCTTCTTTGAACATGTCATACTTTTCTCCTGCCAGGCCTTCATACTCACTATCCTCTGCTTGGAAAGCAACACCTGACTAACTCCTGCTTGCCCTTTAGAGCTCAGCTGAGGTCATGTCTTCTGGGAAGCTTTCCAGATCCCTGAAGGCAGCTTGTGTCAGTGGGGGTAGGTGCATAGCCCATCTCCAGCTCAGTCGTGCCCAGGCTTCTGCTGACATCTGATTGTTGTGTTTGGCAGAGAGGTTGAAGATTAGCTCAGAGGGAATGTTGATGTTGTAGAATGTGGAGTAATGAGAATAGCAGTCGGTGAGATGGATGTTAGGGCAACTAAAAGTCAAAGTGTGGACTTTGGGCTGTGAAGACATTGCCCTCTAGGCATTGAGATCTCTGGACCTTCCAACCAGGAGTCGGTGGTTGGTCCCTCTGACTTGCATTTCTCCTCCTTGCTCTCTCTCAGGGGGGGATGTTACCATCACTGACCTGCCAGTGGCCCTAGAGCAGATCAAGGGCAATGTCCAGGCTAACGTGCCAGCCGGAGGCCGGGCCCAGGTTTGTGCCTTGTCCTGGGGGATTGATCAGCATGTCTTCCCTGGAGACTATGACATAGTGCTGGGGGCTGATATCGTGTACATGGAGCCCACCTTCCCACTGCTACTGGGAACCCTCCAACATCTGTGTGGGCATCATGGCACCATCTACCTGGCCTCCAAGATGAGAGAGGAACATGGGACAGAGAATTTCTTTCAGCACCTTCTTCCCCAGCACTTCCAACTTGAGCTGGCCCAGCGGGATGAGGATAAGAATGTCAACATCTATAGGGCCAGGCACAGGGAACCAAGACCTGCTTGACGTCATTCCATTCCAGTAAAGGAACTGCATTTCTCCAAAGCTGTATCTCCAGAGCCACAAACACAAGGACCAAAAAAAAAAAAAAAAAGAGGATTTCCTTGGTGTCTCTCTCCTACTTCCTTCTTTGTTCCCTCAGTTATGCTTGGACAGATGAAGGCAGGTGTTTGTTTGCTAAGAATTCTGGAGTCCTAGAAGGATTGGCTTTTAGAGCGTAAAGGGGTTTTGCACAAAGGAGGTTGGAAGGGTCCCTGGGATATTTAAAAGTAAAGAAGGTAAATAAGATATGAGAACAGTGGCTGCAGTGAGACTGTCACTGATGACTTCCAGTCCTATTTATACAGAATGGACTTTTTAAAAAACCAAGATCTAGTCAGGCATGGTGGTGCAAGCCTGTAATCCCAGCAACTGGTGAGGCTAAGGCAGGAGCATCGCAGGTTCAAAGCCAGCCTCAGCAAAATCGAGGAACTAAGCAACTCAGTGAGACCCTATCTCTAAATAAAATACAAAATAGGCTCAGTGCCTCTGAGTTCAATCCCTGGGACACCCAAAAAAGAATAATAATTTTAAAAAAATAATAAAAAAAATAGAAAGGGCTGGGGATGTAGCTCAGTGGTAAAGTGCCCCAGTACCAAAAACAAAACCCTAAATCTTTGGGACTGGGTTTATAGCTCAATGGTAGATCACTTGCCTTGCATGCATGAGGCACTGGGTTCAAAACTCAGTACCACATAAATATAAATAAGAAAGATATTGTGTCCATATACAACTAAAAAAAAAAAAAACTCAAACTCCCAAATCTAAAATCTATGGAGTACCCCCTCACACCCCAACAATAATCTGGTAGGGTCATGGCTCTAACTGGGTCAGGTCCTCCCAATCCTGAAGCTGGGGATAAGCAGCAGAGCTGTCTTTTGGGCTATAGCTTCTTTTTCCTTTTCAGAGCTGGATTTCTGATATCAGAACATAGTGCAGTGCAGAACATGGACTAAGTGCTAGATTCTTCTCACCTTTGGTTTTCCTTTCTAAGCTCCATTAGTCATTCTTTTCTAATGTGTTTGCTTCATTTTTTGTCTCCTCTCATGCTAGCTTCTCTGATCCAGGATCTCTTCTTGCTTAGGCACATAGTCACCTCTTCTGGACCCTCTGCCACTTTCTCTCGCCTTGGAGCCAGTCTGCAAACTTGGAATCTTCCAAATCAGCTCTGATTAGCTTCCACTGCTTGTAAAAGCAAGAACAAGCTCCTCTGCTTAGTACTTCCATCTAATCCCAATTTACCTCTCTCTTTCATTTTCCATTCTTTTCCTACATGTATTGGGCCTCTGACCAGATTGTAAAAGGTCTATTCTTTGTTTTCTAAATCCATACAAGAGTTCCTGACTTCTTCTGTCTTTATGATGATTCCCTGCCTGGAAGGGCTATTGCTACCTGTCAAAAAATCTTGCTTTTTGCCTCTTTCCTGAAAAAAAGCTTTTCAGCTCCTGTTTGAATGCGATTTTTTCCCTCTGAGATCCTTTAACTATTCCTCTTATGGGACCTTACTTTGACTTGTGTGAACATTTGTCTTATCCTTGTTTTCTCACTGTGGGATTTCCTTGGAGGGTAGAGCTGTGGTTCGTTTATTCATGTCTAATTCCCCGAAGGTTAGCACAGTTCCTGGCACACAAGTGTTCCACAGATATTTTGCTGATTTAACAAATACTTGCTAAGTTTATTGGAGGGATTCTACCCATCTACCTGCCTCAGGGAGTTTGTCATGAGTCGTAAGTGGAAAATGAATGTGAAAATACATTGTTAATAAAAAAAAAAACAAGTGTCAACCATCCGTCTTACATTATTATTTTTGACAACTTTATCCTTTGATTTTTCTTATTTTTCCTGTCGCGGATAACTCCCTGTGAAGTGTCTGAATCTATGCTGTCTCCATAAGTTTAAGCTGAATGGAGGCGACTATGTTCCTCTTGCCAGCAGGTGGAGCCACTCTTGTTTGCCACGTTCTGGGGAAGAATTTTGACCCTTCCGCCACGTCGTAGCCGGTCGTTTGGCCCGTACGTCAGCGGGCGGGAGTGAGCCGTAGCTGGCGAGATGTCCCTGCTGCGGTCGCTGCGCTTGTTCCTGGACGCGCGGACAGTGAGTCTCCCGGTGAGGACACCTGGCCCGGTGCTCACATTGCCTTCCTTGTAGTTTTCCTGTGCGTCCGGAGCGCACCCCTTCCCTTATCCCGACCCGCATTCAACCTGGTTCCACCTCCTCCACCGGCATTGACTCTTCTGTGTCCAGCTCCAGTCGCTGCCCTGTCCTTGTCTCCCCAGCCCTAAGGCTGCCTCGGAGCTGACGTGCTCTCTTCCCTCTCCCCGTCTCCTAGCTGCTTCCGGCTTCTCATCCCTGTCTTCTCACCCTTTCCAGGCCGGGTCCCTTCGGCTTCAGTCGCCCCAGCCACGGCACACCTTTCACGCTGCGTCCTGGTTGTCTGCCTCTTCTTCCAGCAAGGAGCTCCTTATGAAGCTGCGGCAGAAAACAGGCTACTCCTTTGTAAATTGCAAGAAAGCTCTGGAAACTTGTGGTGGAGATCTCAAAAAGGTTGGAAGGGGATGCAGTGTAGGGTACTAGGGTCCAACTTCAGTCTGGAGAAGTGATATTGGGGAGCGTAGGTGAGACCTGATGACCAGTGGCCCATAACGGCAGAAACCTAGGTGGCATTCTGGCTTAAACAACCACCTCAGCCTGTGTTAGTGGGGAGAAATTGACCCAGGGTTAACGAACCCTATATCATGCGAGACTGCTTGGTGTTTTCTGCCGCATGGACCTGTGTGCACTCAGGAGTCAGACCCTCTAGGACTCAAATTATGGTGCCTTCACATCAATACTTTGTGGACATTTAAATTAATCTTTTATTGTTGAATCATTCTTTAAAAAAATATTCAGTTTTTAGTTTTTTAAATGGACACAATGTCTTTATTTTACATTTATGTGGTGCTGAGGATTGAACTTAGTGCCTCAAGCATGCTAGATGAGTACTCTACCACTGAGCCACTGGCACAGCCCCCATAGTTGAATCATTCTTGTCTATATAATGAAAATAATACCATTTTCTCCATAGGGTGGTTGTGAAGATTAAAATTGTACAGAGCACCAGTTTCTGCAGTCTATACTCAGCATTTAGTGGTGTACTGCCACTAGAATTATAGAATTTAGGGGAAGCATAAAGAATCCGGGAACTTGAACATATTTTAGAACATCATTCAGTATAAATTCCGTGACTTTATCATCTGCTCTTCTTTCCAATTTATAGGCAGAGATCTGGCTTCACAAGCAGGCCCAGAAGGAGGGCTGGAGCAAAGCTACCAAGCTCAGTGGGAGAAAGACTAAAGAAGGACTGATTGGGCTGCTGCAAGAAGGAAATACTACTGTATTAGTAGAGGTAAGTTGTTGGAATTTCACATATCAGTAATAGATGGTCCTTCAGTGTAAGGCTTGTAGTTGACCTTTTGCATTCTAAAATAAGAAATTTGTTTGAGAATCATAAAGGGTAGTTGGAATTAAACTTTAGAGACCTTAGTTATTAGCTAGGGACTCATTTAAGTATATAAATGCACAGGTGTGGTCTAGAATATTAGTCCTAATATTCTAGAATATTAGTCCTAAATGTGAGTCTAGTGCAGTCTGTACCTTGTCATTATTTCCTGAAAATTTATATTTTAAAGTAGTAACTATATTAATTAGTTGATAGTAGAGAGTATCTGTTTTAGAGGAGGTTTTGGGGCCTTTGAAAAGAAGTAGGTGTAATTAGTTTAGAGTAAGCAGGGTGATAGCAAATGTGATTTGGAATTGAAGGAGGCTGGAGAAATGAGGTGTTTATGGTGTGCAGCCATAGGCAAGTGGTCAACTTGTAGTGAGCCCTTTACAACATTATGGAACCCCCCTCTGAATGTGTATGTTTGTGCTAATTCATTGGCACAGAAAGAATCACTTCATTAGTTTCTGGCCTTAAACAAGAGAGGAACTGAAGCTTTAAAACTCTGGAGTCATTTATTTTTGTTGAGTCTGAAGCTGATTCTATCAACATCTTGGTTTACTGCACAACCTTAGGGCACTTTTAGAAACAATCAGTAAACAACTTATACAACATCATTTATCCCTACAGGTAAACTGTGAGACAGATTTTGTTTCCAGAAATTTAAAATTTCAACAGTTGGTCCAGCAGGTAGCCCTGGGAACCATGTTGCATTGTCGGAGCCTAAAGGATCAACTCTCCACGTACAGTAAAGTGAGTTTGGAGGTTGTCTTCAGCATGCTGCATTTGTTCCTGTTTTGGTGTTGGGGATGGAATTTAAGGTCTTGTGCATGCTAAGTATGTGCTCTAACACTGTACTAAACCTCCAGCCCCTGCTGTTTGTCTGTTTTTTACCCCCACTACCCCAAAATCTCTGATTTCACTCTCTTGCTTCACATTGCTGCTTATATGTTATCTCTTTGGGGGAGGTGTATTTCCTTTTTGTTTTTCTTTCTCCTTATTCTGCCTTATTTAAAATTTTTTTATTATAGTGCCCATATGTTACATTTATCTACTTATATATTGTCTGTTTCCCCCCATAGAATGTAAGCTTCATGAATTTGTTTTTTCACTGCTATATCTTTGGTGAAAGAGAAGTGGGGGCAGCATTCAATTGGAGCTTAGTAAACCTTTGTTGAATGAATGAATGAATGAATGTCCATTGGATGGGATCACTCAAATTAAGCAAAACCATCTGAGGCTTCCTATTCAGAAATCTGGAATGCCCTGAGGAAAGTGTTTCCAAGTGGGGAGATTGGAAGAAGCACAATTTGGGATAGTAAACATATTCTGATTCATAGAAGGGTAAAGGAATGAATTAATTAGTCTACCTTTGATCCAGTATTATTGTCAAGACAAAAATGACCCAACCACTCAATTACATTTTTTTGTGTGTTCATTATCATTTATTTCTTTTCTTATTTATCCTTCTCTTGAGATTGTATGGTAAATGTTAATTGTTACAGCATTAATTAAAAAGTCCTATTTGGGCTGGGGATATAGCTCAGTTGGTAGAGTGCTTGCCTTGCAGGCACAAG